TTTGGTTGGGCTGTTTGCTGTTGGCTTCTTTGGCAGTTTCTTGATTGGGGTATTGTTTACTTGGTTGTTGGTCTGATGTTAACCTTGGAGTTATGCTGATCTGGGTGCTGATTGCTGGTGGATTGGTGCTTGGGTCTTTTTGTTCCCTTTTGGGCTGGGTGATTGTCTATTTTGCTTAGTCTATAGATGTTAATGTCTATGTGTCTATTGATGGCTAATTTGTCAGAATGCCAGGCTTCTAGAAATTCCCTGGTGTTTTTTGGATTTGGCTTGGTCTAGGATGGTCACATTTTCCCAATTGAAACAATGGTTAAACCTGTCTATCTGTAGTGAAATTAAGGGAATTTTCATAATGTTTTTTGACCACTAGTTGCTGTTCATGGATGTGTTCTGCCAGTCTTCTGCCTGTTTGTCCTACATAGTGGTTGTTGCAGCCCTTACATTGTATGTTGTAGATGAGTCCTGTTTTTTTCTTCTGGGCTTGCTGGGTCTTTTGGTTTGCTTAGGATGTTTTGAAGGGCTTTGGCTGGCTTGTTGCTATGCTGATTCCATGTGGTTGTAGTAGTCTATTTGCGGTTTCTGAGATATTCTTGATGTGTGGCAGTGTAATTCTTTTTAGGATTTGTGTTGATTGTGCTGTATTGGGTTGAGTGGTCAGGGACGTTTTGATGAAGTTGCTTGGATATCCATTTTGTAACTCCAAGGTTAACATCAGACCAACAATCAAGTAAACAATATCCCAATCAAAAACTGTCAAAGAGCCAACAGTAAACAGCCCAACCAAAGAACCTGTAAGACACACACACACACACCCAACAGGACAAGCCACCAGAAAATAAACTGACAGGAAATTTCACTTCTTATTAGCACTGATGATGTTACCTAGTTTGGGTAATGCAACGTCTGCAAGAAAACAAGCAAGCTCAGAGAACACCAAGGACCCCTCATTTCAAATTGGGGCTAGCATGAATCTTGTATTCGTCTCTGTCGCAAAAATGAATAGGAGGGAACTACTGGGTTCAGCTCTTGCTCTAAAGGGGCAGAAAGCCACTATAGCTAGGAAATCCTTTGCATAAATCCATCTTGTGCGTCTTTTTATTCACTCAGCTTTTATAATGCGCAACTGCAGGGGACTGACAGTACAGTTGCATCCATTTCTGGATCAGAGACATTGCTCACAATAATTTATTCCTTGGTTACCTTGCATTTGAATTGTACTGGAATGAGCTGTACCTGATGCTGCCCTTGAAAATCATTCAGAAGCTCTAGTTGGTCCAAAACACAATAGGACAAATAGATATGAGTGCATCTTAGCCAGTGTAATACACCATTTTGAAGCTGCATTAGCTCCCAGTGCAATTTAAGGAGCTGGTTGGCTTACAAAGCCCAAGGCTGACTGCTTTTGGGACTCCTTATCTCAATTTATTTCTACCTGTATAGGATAGACATGCTCTGGATTCCTTCTATTAATGTTATTTGATGGGACCTAGAAGGTGTGGGTTTTCTCTCATAGCATCTGCCCTGTAGAACAGTACACCCTGAGATATGAATGGCCATCGCCCTGCCAATCTTTTGTTGGGTGCTAAAAACCCGGCTCTTCTCTCAGGCATTGTGGCAAGACATTAGGCGAGCCCGTTTTTAGGGAATTATCTGTGTAGGTCAAAATAGTCTCAGGAATTATGTGCTTTAATTGTTTTAATGTTTGTTTTTAAAATGGATGTTAATGATGGAGCAGTCATATAAAATTAAAATGACTTTATGTGCAGTCACTTTATTTGTTTCATTTTATAATCGAGAGTTTTGTGATCAATAGGTAGAAGTGTTATTTATTTACAGAACGTATAGTACTGTTGGCATATATACAGGTAGTCCTTGACTTACAACCATTCATTTAGTGACCATTTGAAGTTACAATGGCACTGAAAACAAGCGACTTATCATTTTTCACACTTAGAACTGTTGCAGTCTCCCTGTGGTGATGTGATCAAAGTTTGGACTCTTGGCCACTGGCATGTAATTATGACGGTTGCAGTTTCCTGGGGGATCAAGTGATCACTCTTTGCTACTTTCTGACAAGCAAAGTCAATGAGGAAGCCAGATTCACTTAACGTGTTATTACTTAACTGCAGTGATTCCCGTAACAACTATAGCAAGAACGGTCGTAAAATGGGGTAAACCTCACTTAACTGTCTTGCACAGCAATAGGAATTTTGGGCTCAATTGTGTTTGTAAGTCGAGGATTATCTGGTAGTGCTGCTCAAAGTGCAGAACTAAGAGAAATAAGTTGAATCGGTTATTATCCTTCAAGCCCTGATTCCATTCTCAGTGAAATCCAGAGGTTGCTAAGCCTTCTGGGTTTTGAGCATACTTCAGTAAATTGCATACTGGTTTAAACTAATTAGTTATGTGCAATAAAGGCAAAATGACTGTTTGCGTCCCAGTTCCAGGTTTTAAATAATCTAATTAGATAATATTACATGAATTTTGCTTTCTTATTCACTGTAATATAAATACAATTTTATACACATATAGAGACAAGCATGTAGAATAGTATATAATTCTTTATCTCCTTGCTTTGTTTTTTGCCACCTCTTCTCTGATGAAATATACAGGTAGCCTTTGACTTAGAACCACAATTGAGCCTAAAATTTCTACAGCTAAGCAGGACGTTTGTTAAATGAATCACTGCAGTTATTAGTAACACAGTTGTTGTCCATGTTGACCCTGGGACACTGCAACCATCCTAAATACATGCCATTGCCAAGCATCTATGTTTTGGTCACATGACTATGGGGATGCTGTCTTGTGTGAAAAAGTTATTAAATCACTTTTTTTTCGGTGCTGTTATAATTTTGAATGGTCACCAAATGAATGAGCTACTTGTAGGAAACTTGAAACAAGGTTTTTTTTTTATTTCCAGAAAAGGCTTTTGGGGGGGGGGGGGCTATCTAGAAATAACTGCTGATACGAAATTATTTTTTTTTCTCCCTTTAGCGCTGTGTAGAGAGACTGAAAAGTAGTCGGGCCAAGTTGCTAGAAAGATATCGTCAAGTGGGAGAAAATGGAGCTTGCAGATCAAATAAAGCCTTGCTGGTACAGGAGGTGATGGAAGTTGAGTGGAAAGCTTTGCAGTCTGTGGATTCTCAGCTACCCTCTCTGAGAAAGCAGGACTCTTCCCAGGTTAGTGCCGTATGAAGAAGTTGTGGGTGTGTTTGTTAGGACATAAGACTGGTGTCCCATGTTCTTAAAGCAGTTTCTCAACTTTAGCAACTTCGAGTGTGGACTTCAACTCCCAGAATTCTTCAGCTAGCCGTGCTGGCTAAGAAATTCTGGGAGGTGAAGTCTACAGATCTTCAACTGTCAAAGCCAAGAAACACTGCCTTAAAGGGATCAAATAGTCTTTTCTGATGTCATCATGCAATGGTCCTAGGGCCAAAAGGTAGGCAGAAAATCTCACAAGATGGTATTATCGCAATTGCAAATCTGGGCCAAGTCTTTTGAGATATGTCCAATTTAAAAGTTTATTTTTATTTCACATCAGCTTGAAATGGAGGTTTAGGACTGGAAAGAATGTCCTATTCTTGCTTTAAAAGCAATTCATCTAAATATGTTTTACATGTTACATGTTTTCTTATTAAGCAAAAAGTATATACTTTTATACTTACTTGTGGAAAGTACCTTTGCATATCAGGCTTTTAAAGCAATTTATAAAACAATTTCAAGATAGTTTGAAAAAATAAGCAGTGGGACGTGAGTAGAAACGCAATTTACTTTTAATATGTTGTACTTTGTTTTATTTATTTTTACTATAATTTCTTTGCTGTGAGTTGCTCAGTCATTGAGAATTAGGCAGCATGTAAATTTAATAAATTATGTATAATTTTGAAAAGCCAAGAAAAAATACTAAATTTTGAAGCAGTCATAAATTAGATGGGTGGGGGAAATGAATGCTCAATTGGTGCTATGGAGAAAGCATGACATCTTGAATTCCTTATAAGAAAAGCTGTGTTAAAAACATACTTACTTTTTTTTTTTTTTTTAAAAAAAGCAACGTACCATTCTACCATAGTCAGAATGCATTGTCCCAATAAGAATTATGGGCTTGACCTAAAAGTATACCTTAGAGCAGTGGTGGCGAACCTTTTAGAGACCGAGTGCCCAAACTGCAACCCAAAACCCACTTATGCATCGTCGGGTGCCGGGTGGGTGTGGCCCATTGGATGGGTGTGGCCCATTGGATGGGTGTGGCCCATTGGGTGGGCCTGGCTGTGGTGGTAACAGCAGACTGGGTGGGACAAAAAGTTCAATCAATCAATTCCAACTTTGCAAGATCTTTTTTTTTCCCCGCGAGAAGTTGAAATTGACTGATTGATTGAACCTTTTTTTTTTTTGTACACGGCGGCGGTGGCCTAAAGCGAAAAGGTTTTATAAAACCCAGCTGAAGGCTTAGGACTGGGGCGACGGCGCGCGTGCCCACAAAGAGGGCTCTGAGTGCCGCCTCTGGCACCCATGCCATAGGTTCGCCACCACTGCCTTAGAGGAGGCCAAAATACCTTCCAGCTTCTTGAATGATGGACCTGATGTGATAAAGCTAAGAAAGAAAGCAGGGGAAAGATTTTTACTAGAACTCATTGTGGGGTTCTGAGAATCTTTGGTAGAGAGAGCCTAATAAGTATGTACCATGTGCTTGGATTGGTGGAGGGGTCCTGGGCAAACATTTGTTTCCAGTCTTCATTTTGGAGACAGTATGTATGAAATGCAAGCACCCTAAGTGTCTCTCTCTCACACACATATACCATTTCCCTTCCTTAAATATTATGACCAGAACACTTAACTGAGTGCTTTTCTCTTTAGATGCTTGAAGAACTGGCTGTATTGGATGAAATCCATCAGGAACTGATCTTGCAAGGTATCCAAGCTTATTTTTCATAACTGCTGCTTTAATTAATGTTTTTACTAAAGCACAGTGCATAATGGACCTTGGCAAATTTGAAAAAAGCCAAGCAGGGTCATCTAGGAGTTTACTAGGGGATCTCAGGGCTATGGGCCCTTCAGCAGTGCATGCTTGTAAACTATACTGATAAAAATGTACCTGAATTAGAATGTGATGATGGAAAGGTGTGATCAACTCAAGATTAGATTCAATCCTATTCCTAGAAACTAAGTCAATGACTTTGTAGCCGCTCTATCTTAGTTCAACCTCCCTCACAGTGTTATTGCAAAGTAAAGAAATGGACCGCTGCACGAAGCACTACGAAAAAGTGGAATAGGAAGTTAACAAATGTATTTATTTTTATTCTACCTTTGTTATTTTTATAAATAACTCCAGGTGATCAGCATACCTAATGCCCCTTCCTCTTTTCCCCAATACAACAACCTGTGAGATGGGTTGGGCGGGGTCATATTAATCAGAAAGTGGATCAAAATCCAGTTTCTAAGCCAGGAATTTTCAGCTCCATGGAGTCACTAGGAATTGAACTCAGTCTGAAAGAGATTTAACCAATTAACAGCAATGCTCTCTTTTGTAGAACAGCTGGCCATAGAGGAATATGAGCAAAGCCTGAAGTTTGATGAGGACTGCCTTAATGCAATGCTTGATGGCTTAGATGTAGAACAGCATATCATCTGTCCTGTTTGCAGAAGGTGAAGTAGTGATTGGCTTGAGAAACCTCTTGCCAAATTGTAAAATCTCTGCCTGGTACCAGGCCACATGATTATTTATTTACTTATTTATTTAAATCCTACCTTATTATTTTTAGAAATAACTCAAGGTGGAGAATGTCTATGGAGATTCTCAGTCATCCAGGTCATGATTGTCCCTTTTTCAAAAGGCAAATGGACTTTGTTTTTCCTCAAAGACGTTTCGCTTCTCATCCAAAAAGCTTCTTCAGCCATCCAAGAAGCTTCTTCAGTTAGAACTGAAAAAGCTTCTTGGATGAGAAGTGAAATGTCTTCAAGGGAAAACAAAATCCAGTTGCCTTTTGAAAAAGCACCTTTGGGTCAAGGTGGAGAACATATGTAATACTCTTTGCTATTTTCCCCACAACACCCTGAGAAGTGTGTTGAGCTGAGAGTGACCAGCTACCTTTTGTTACTAGAATCGGACTAAAACAATCTCCTGGTTTCCTAAACCAACACCTTAACCACTACTACAAAGCTGGACTGTTGTGTCAGATGCAGGTTCAGCTTCATTTTGCTGTACTATAATGCGAGTTCTTTTTATGAAGACATTTTCCTTCTTCCATCTTCAGAGATAAGTGGAGACCAAAAATTTGGTTTTTCCTTACTTGCATCCTGAAGTAAGGTTAATTTTCTTAACCAGTGGAATTTATAGTATAATGTGGCAGTGTGGAGGGCTCCATATTCAGGATTCCAGAAAGTGCCTCCCATTCTTCCACCTTTCTGATTTTCCTTGTCATGCTGTTCAGTAACTGGTTCATAGCTTAAATAAATAACTTCCATTTCTGCAGATTATGTTCTCTCCCTCTTACTGACCTCTGTTTTGCACATGTTGCTCGACTAGGGAAAGTTTTTGTTCTTAGTTTTATATCCCATAGTTGATTTCAACATCTGGAAATCCCAATTTCTCAGCTGTTGTGACTTGTGAATAGGCTACTATGTGTTAAAAGCTATGCCTTTGCTAGACATCAGAACCCACCTAGAGAAAACTGGCTAGACTGATAGCAACTCAGAATTCTTCTAACATACCTGGTTTATTACTATGGGAAAGAAATGCTTTCTTCAGTCATTTGACCCTCCTCCTTGTAGACTTTAGTAACAATTCATGGCATGTTTTAGTCACTCAATTTCTGCAGAAGATATACATTTGACCCTAAAATTGTTTTAAGGCTTCTAGTTTTAAATAATCAGCTTTTCAAGGTAGTACAGTAGCAGAATGCTCTTCTGATTTAGTTTATCAGTTGATGGGTTTTTTACTTCCTTTCTCACTTGATCTTCATGTGTGAAGGCTTTGAGGGCAATCTAGATAAATTACTTTTCACTTTCATCGTTGCGATTCTCTTTGCATCTAGGAACAATCTCAGTGTGATGAGTAACATGGTTGCATGCCAATGTGGACTCTGCATCAATAGCCTGGTAAGCAAATGTTAAGGAATTTCTGGGCAGCAACTCCATTGCTGGGCAGCAGCTTTACACCATTCTGCTGGGGCTTCCTGGGATGGCTAAGACTTCCAGTGGTGGTTGAAGCTTTGCACAGTGGCTCAGGGGCTTCTTGCAGCCCTCAAGTCACAGCACACCAGGAAACCTGAGTCGCAACATGGCAAGCGTTCCAGGGCCGCACAACTCTGCAGGGTAGCCAAAATGACAGAGATGGAAGGGGATAGGCATTTGGGGGGAATTGAAAGGGAGGAAGTCCCTTGCTTTGGAAGGACCAAGGCTCAGGGTTGGAAGTGACCAAGCCCGGAATGGCTTGGATTGGGGTGGGTCCTTGACTAATGACTGGTGGCATTCATTTAACAAATGCTGTTGCTAAGCGATGTGGTTGCACTTTATGTCTGCATTGCTTCGCATGGAAATTCCAGTCCCAGTTGGGGTTAGAGATGGAGGACTACCGGTAAGATAAAAACAGAGGTTTCATGTAAGAGATTAAGGTATTGCCTTCATGCCCTACTTGTGAACTTTCCATAGCATCTGGATCGCCATAGCAGAGAGCAAAATGCTTAATTAGATAGACCTTCAGCTTTATTGAGAGCTGTCCTTAGAAAAAGTATGAATGCAAGTTGGCACCTGATTTAAAACATCCTGTACTCTCTTCATGTGAGGGAAGGGAATCAGGGCAAATTGGCAACTGGACAAGCAACAGCTTGACTCATCCAAACTTGATTGTTCTCTTTTAAGGGGATGACTGAGGAAAAGCTCCAGTTGCTCTTAGAAGAAGGTCTGATGGAACATAGCCAACATTGTCAGCACTGTCCTGAATTCACCGTAACTAATATGATGGAAGGAGAAACTAATCTTCTTATGAGCTGTCAGGTAAGAATCCCAATTCAGTCAGAATATTCACTGACAATTCACTCCAATAATTCCCCCCCCAAAGCATTTTTACCACTAAAATCAGAAGCATTGTTTCTAATATACAATGTTGTGAATCCAGTGCCAAGGTTCACCCTCTTGAAAAGTAAAGATGTCCTTGAGCTGAGCTCAAATATCCATGGCTGCATCCATGCAGCTTTCTGGGTTCACCCCTTCCATCCTCTGGGATTTTTTTTTTATCGTAACCCTAACCCTGAAACTTTCAACAGTTCCACCCTTCAAGTTCTAAAGGACAAGCCTGGAATCATCATATGGTTACTTTTTTGTCATCTTTTTATTCTATTTAAAGACATTGGCTAAAAGTAAAGGGTTTTTTTAAAAAAAAATTGGAACACAAATCAGAATAGCTAGCTTAACTTTTCTGTAGAGCACGGGTAGTCAACCTTGGCTCTTTTATGACTCGTGGACTTCAATTCCCAGAATTCCTGAGCCAGCTAAGCTGGCTCAGGAATTCTGGGAATTGAAGTCCACGAGTCATAAAAGAGCCAAGGTTGACTACCCCTGCTGTAGAGTATCCCAGTTTTGCTACAAGAATGTTTTCCTTCCTAACCATTAGAGGGAGAAAAACCCTCTAGAGAGAGGTGCCATAGTTTTCCAAACTTAGAAGATGGAAGATATGTTTAAAAAGTTACATAATGTTGCTCAGTGGGAAAGCCATATCTATATTAAAATACACACCAGCACTTTGTTAATGAATAAGGACTGTATTTAAGAAACAATAACTTGCATTTATTTTTTGGTTCTAGGCTTGCGATTCCTGGACAGTGATTTTTTAATTCCATCTGCATAACATTCTGCAGTATTGTAGAAAGGCATTGCTGTTGACTCCCCCTTCTTCTTTAGACGGGTGTTTATGTATATAATGTTCACAATGTATAGAAATACAAAAGGTGTTCCTTATTTTTTTTAATTTAACTGGATCTATGCTATTTTTTCTAAAGCATCCTGCTTGAATAAACACTCTCCTTTTATGATAAGAGCTGGGTATTATAGATTTGGAGACTTTTTTGGTTGCAGCACTTTTTTGTACAAATTCTTGGAAATGTTGATCCAAATTGCATGTACTTTCATAAAGGGTTAAAGGACTTGCCATGTGTGAAGCACCTATTTTGCAAAGAATATCTTCTAGATTCCAACTGGTGACATTTTTGCTTAAAGGAGGTCAGATAACAGAAGGGGATGGTTATATTTCATTCTTGGACATGTCTAAAGGCCAGGACCAACAATTGTACAATTAGTTGGGCCAACATACCGGTCACCAACTTTGAATTCCTATTAGTGGAAACAACACTGGCTAGTGGCCTGGTTGATTACATAAAGTAGCATAATGCATGTCATCTTTTTAATAATATCTGGAAATAAAGCTGTACTTTCATGGAGTGCTTTCCTCCCAAATATGCTGCTGAAATTCAGAGCTATGATTAAAAGGGGGAGGTCAAATTACCCCTCTCAATAACTAGAAAGTCTCTGGTAGCCCCAATGTATTTTAGAGGAAAGACACTACCCCTTATTCCACAAAAGGGTTTTTAGCCTGGCCTCCTTTTGTCCCAAAGAATGCTGCCTATTGGTAAGCAATGGCATAAAGATCCACTGAAAATGGAAATACAGATTTCTGTTGCATGCTGGTTTTCTGGAGTTCTATGGGAAAACTGTTCATTGGTAGTTTCCGTTTCAGAAAATCCCAGAATTTGGGTTTAGGGAAGTCCTTGATGTATAAGTTGGTGCATTACTGACGCATGTTTATTTATTTTGAGAGCCACCTTAGCAAAGAGATTGGATAGTATAGGAAAAATTCATATAAAATACTGTATTATTTAAACACTGACAAGCTGGGATAGAGGGACAAGAATATACCATCAGGTATATTACTATTTCCCACATTTTGAAGGAAAAGTTCTTTGAAATCAAGTAATTGAAATTACCTTATGATAGTATCTGATCCAGATAAAAGATCATTTTGTAGTTCCTTCTATCTTCTTAAAAATAGCCTGACATTGATGCTGTACTCCCACCAAAATGTGTAATATAAATTAGGTACTTCCATTTGCATTTCCCCCCATGCTAGCTTTAAAAGATCAAATTCAAGTCAGATGCAAAACAGTGGCTCATATGGATAAGTTGGTCTATTCACATTACATACTTGTGTAATGTATCCCTGAACGCACAGTATAACATATTTGCACTAATACACCAAATGTATTCATTCCTGCCAATACTAATTCTGATTAGCGTTATATGCTGCATTTAAAATCAGTGTAATTTTTTCTGTTGGACTTTGTAAAAAAAAAAAAAAGCTGGTTTATTATACGCAGTCGTACTGTTGACTAGAGCTAGTTTTAAGCAGCATGTATTGGTTCAGACAGTTCCATTACTATCTGTTTTGAATCACCAAAAGATCAGTGTGATTCCCCTTTCTCTTATCCTTCTGCCAACAAATGAAAAAGTTTTTTTTCCTTCAAATAGTATTTTGTGTATAAATAAGTAGCTAGGTGGGTACTGTTCATTAATATTCTCATTATTTTAATTATTTTTTTTACTTTCTGCATTGTTGACCAACTTGAGTTTTGTTAATTGGAAAGGCAGGATATAATTTAAGAAATAAACTACCTCTAAAGCTGTTAACTTTGTGATGTTTTCTGTTACTTGAAATCCAGATGCAAAACTACCTATTGCTTCTTTTCAAACATTAAACTACTATAAGATTCTTCATTTTCTCTTATGCTATAATCCATTGTACAGTCAGGACACAAAATTAAATTGGTGCCCTTTATAAAGATTTGAGCAGAACCTGCAGAATCATTTTAGCAATTTCAATTATTAAGGGCTTAAAATGGGATCCTAGCTTGACTTTACTTCCACTTGCCATGTAGTTTTCCCACAACTATGGCCGTACTCCTTAAAGCAAAAGACATTAATCAAGAGCTTTAAACTTCATTCCTTTCCTTACTGTTTGCAAATTATGCAGATAAATCATGACAAACCTCTTGAAAATACCTCTGAAGGGGGAAAAAAAAGAAAATGGATTGAAATGTGTTTATTACATTGCTGTACAGTCACTTTCTCAGTCTGTTCATTTTCTCCTCTACCTCCTGCACAATATTATGCAGTTTAGCAGCCGTTTTTGTCAAGGCAGCAAAGCTTTCTTTAAGGTTTCCAGTCCCTTCATTTCTGCCTATATTGTCAAGACCATCAAACCATTGTAGAATCCCTTCAAGGTGCCCCTGGACAATCTTTTGCTCTTCCAGTTCTGCTTGTAGAGCTTGCTCAGCACACATTTCAGCTTTAAGTTCTCTTTCGAGCTGGCTGATTTCATTCTCCAGCTCTTGAAACTGTTTTGCTGTGTAGCAGAATTCCTCTTGGAGTTTATCTTCTGGAAGACAAACGTTCTTGGGGATGCTCAAAACTGTGCTTAAAAGAGGTTCTTCCATCTTAGTGAACAGATTATCGAAGCGCTCCTTCATGAAAGTAAAGAATTTTTCTGTGCTCCTCCGGATTAAAGTAGGTGTAAGACTAGGACAGATGTTCTCTAGTTTATTCAATATAACTTTCTCCACTACCAGCATTATATGAGAAAGATGATCTTGAAAAGCAAAATATATCCGCAACATGAATGTTTGAGGGGTAAAACCAAAAAATTGGGCTTCGTATACCATTGGATTTATTGACATCTTGAGAAATACCTGAAAAGAACATTGTTTTAAAATAATCAGTCTTTAGTAAGTTAATTGGACTGGGTTTCATACATTGTGCTAAATTGTCAGCCCTTTGAGGTAGTCCAGACAAGAAGCACCAACCATGAGGTTACTGTAAGGTTACCATAAGAAAGTACATCTCTTCTCCCCTTGCCTTTATGTTCCAAGAAACTAAGGAGGGTCCCTTCTGAGATTTTTGCTACACTATTACTTCTGTGAGCTAAGGTGCCTCTTATCTAGTCTGCTAGATAAGAGGCAGTTGCCTAGTCTGCTGCTGCCTTGTCTTGTTTTTTTTAGGACATTCTCACAGATAATATACCTGTACATAGAGAAGTCTACAAAGAATCTTAGGGCTGGAAAGGACCTCAGAGGTCTTCTAGTCCAACCCCTGCCCAAGGCAGGAGACCTTATATCATCCTGGTCAAAGAATTGTCCAGTCTATTTTTGAAAACCTCCAGTGATGGACCACCCACAATTCCAGGGGGCAAGCTATTCTATTGATTAATTGTTCTCACTGTCAGAAATTTCTGCTTGCTTCTAGGCTGGATCTCTAATAAGCTTCCACCCATAACGTCTTGTTACATTTGGTGCTTTGGAGAATACGTCAGTCCTCTCTTCTCTGTGAGAGCCTCTCAAGTACTAGAAGACAGCTGTCATGTCCCCACTAATTCTTCTCTTTGATAGGCTAAACATACCATTAACCAAGCCATAGTAAAACGTGGTTAGGTGAATATATCACAAAAGTTGGATTCATACCACTTGTTGAAATAAAATGGTCTAGCACAGAGCATGATTACTATTAGAACTGATAAACTATTCCAAGTATTTGGGCATATGATCATATATGTAACTTCTTTAAAAGAAAAAGAAAAATGATACTTGCAAAAGTAGGAGGAAATTTTGAAAACAACAACCCAGTCTTATGGACAGGAAAAGAGGCAGGTGGCCATACAATGAGTGGCCATACAAATCAAATAAATCATTCAGTAGATATCCAATCCCATTGGATAAAAAAATATATATATTCAAAATTGATACTTGTAAAATAAAAATGCCTATGCAACTTGATAGCTAAATAAAATTCTGAATACTAATTCCACATTATTGAAATGGTTATTAAATGGACTGATTTATTACAGGAGAATGTGCTTGCAACTGAGCAGTACTATATTACTAGAGAATGTATCAGACATTTAAAAACTAGCTATTTTTAAAGAATTCAAATATTCAAGATTTACAGAAATCAGGCAACCCGCTTTTCTGAAGAAACTTGATAGAAAACATTGCATTGGGCAGCTGTTGGATGATGGGAATTTTATATACATAGGAACTTGCAAACCTTGCGTTTTTGAATTTTAAATAAATTCCGATGCCAAACTTGTTAAGCCCCAGAATTCTTTCTAATTAAAGGGCTCTAAACACTTATTACTGAATTTGGATACTTTTTTCTGAACAATACAGCAGTTCTCAATAGTGAAAAATTACCTCTGAATTTTTTTTGCCAAAGAATCCATTTTTATGAGAGAACTTAGCATTTGGAACAATAATGAAAAAGTCATCAATAAGAACTGATGAAAGCTATAATAAAAGCATCAGCGTACTGTGCTTATTAGTCATAATTGAAATATACTTCCAAATGGAAAGTAGTGAAAAATGAATGTAACGTTTTCTTATACAAATCTATACAAAGTAATTTTTGACAAATATGACCGAAGTTCAGTAAGTTCCAAAAGCAGAACTGTCAGAAGCAGTTTCTCCTTTCCAGATAAACAGCTATAAAATATAAATAATAAACCTATACACATTTACCTCAGAGCAATTCCTGTTAAATTTATTAGGACTTCTTTTCAAAAAGATATGTGCTTGGTTGGCTTTTAAAAACAGGAATGTTATACAATTAACAGAAAATTGAATAAGATCATCTGGTAGGTTTCCAAATGCTTTCACACTGATAAGGATATCCCCTATCAATATATAATAAATAAAAACAATATACCAATTGTTTAACTATGTCAAAACTCCACCCCAAAATATGAACAGATTATTTTGTTTGGCAACCAAACATGAATGGACCAGAATTTCAGAATTTAGTTCTATTTTAGATTTATGTGCTGGTATAAACAAGCAAGAATTTTATCTTGTACAAACCTTCCAGTGCTGAAGAAGGACAATAATGTGACCGGCTCAATCCTGTAAAATGCCAGGACAGCAATTTCCCTTTAAGTGATCCCTGATTGTTCTTCTGTTTATCATCCTCTCATAGAAAACTTGTTGGTTGTTGTCATTTCATTCTTGATCAGACAAGTCCATTCTTCCCGATTCCCCATCTTTACATTTTTGGACCCATCGATGTACAGTACTCACGTCAATACAGTCATCCCCATAAACTGCCTGCATTCGGCGATGAATTTCAATTGGAGGGACTCCTTTGGCCGTCAAAAACTCAATCACGGCACGTTGCTTAAAGCGTATTGCCGAGTACTCAGTGCAGGCTTCCATTTCACGAGCAATAGCAACCCAACCTTTTCTCTCTCATCAACTTCTCGCCAACTGAAGCGAAAAAAGAGATGCTAAAAAAACAGGTCAGAGGTTCTAGAGTTAACACTGGGGCCCTTACTTTCCTGTCAATCCCAACAGTGGGCAGCACAAGCTTATTTAACGCCTCAAAAACAAAGAGAATGCAGTGTTGGGCCTGAGCCGGAGAAGCCCGAATTAGGATCCGAATTCGAATTCACACCAGTCCCTCTTCCTTCAGCTCCAGCTGCCTCATAGAACTGAAGCCAGACCTACATTTATCTATTATTTCTAAGGTGCGCATACATTTTAAGCCATAGACACCCACCTCCTGGTGAGATATATAAATTTAACAAATAAATGTAACATCACTGAAAGCTGCCCTCCCAATGCCATTTCCCCTTTTAACGGGGGCGGGAAAGCACTTCTGGAATATTACACCTGTGAAATAGTTTGCCTTCCTTTCTTGATTTCCGTTTAATATCCAAAAATTATCTAAGGTTTTACGGTCACTGGCCACGTACTTCGCCGTTTTCTTTGTGCTTTTTGTATCGCATTAATATAGTCCTTTTTTGCTCCATTTTGCTCTATTTTATTATCGTCTTATGCTTTAGTTTAAAAGGCTACATTTTTTAGGTCTGGAGCTCCAACTTACCTCAAAACTTCTCCGTCCCCGGGTAGGATTCAAGCTATGCTCAAAGATATTTCACCGAATTGAAATTCACTTTTCCCGCCTCTTTGGTCTCGCTTGTCGTTCCGAACGGCTTCCCTCTCACCCGCCCCTTTCCACAGCTAACCACAGAGATGGGGAAGACTAGAGCTACCGAAGACTACACTTCCGGTAGTCGTCACGACTCTTCAGCACACCGAATCAGCTTTGATTGGGTTCAACAAGTAGACGGAGGGAGGGAGGTGGACGGCGCAGATTGGCTGAGGGGAGAAAAAAAAAGGAAGAATGGAAATGGCAGATTGGCTAGTCAGCTAATGGCTTTGGGGATATGATTGGCCGACATCGAGGAGATACTGTGAGCTGAGGAAGAGCTTTAGGCGGCAGCGCCAAGATGGCGTATCAGACTTTCCGGCAGGAATACCTGCAGATACCTCCTGTCACACGGGCCTACACTACCGCCTGCGTCCTCACCACCGCTGCTGTGGTGAGTGGGGGAGAAGGGTGGGCGTCCCGTGGTCGCTCTGTGGTAGAATAAGCAGTCGTTCGAGGGGAATCCGCAGAGCCTCTCCTTTGACATACTCTACCTTGGCTATTGGGCAGATGTTTTATTTCTAGATTTGGTCGTGATGAACTCTTTTTTCCCCTCTCTGATTCTAATAATTAAATTTATATGCCACCCATCTCAGTATCCGAAGTGACTATGCGCGGCATAGAAACTTTGTGCAGCTTAAGTTTTGAAGAAAGGTTATATCTATGGCATTGAATGTAAACAATCTTTCCACTCCTGGTGACCCATCCGCTAAGAACCGATATTGGATCAGGCCATGAAGAGTTAGGATCCCTCAGACTGATTTACCGTATGGTTGTAAAAATTAAAATGAGGCTGAAAAGAGAATTAAGCGAAAATTGTGTAAAATAGAATCTGGAACCCAGTCCATATATAATCAAAATATTTATTATTCCACTGAACAGTAAATGTAGTCTGAGAAACCATCTTCCAATCTACTTGCCTGCAACATAACTAAAGTATCACATAGCTGTCCTATCATTTGCTAATATTACTGTAGACATTTTTCTGGTATAAACATAAGTAAACTCACAGCTTAGAATATGGTACAAAACAAAATAGATGAAAATATTAGATCTTGGATATTGAAGGTATATAGATTTTTAGAGCAGTGACTTTTGGGATAGTATGCACATAAGAAAAGCACTCTTAGCATGTTTTTCTCAGTGGCCAAGCAAATACTTGAAAAGCAGGACAGTAGCTTTCCTTTTTGCTACAAGTGTAACATTAAGTTTGTATGTACAGATATTTATTACAAATTTTATCCTATTTTTTAAAATGTATCTTAAAAAGTGGTCTTTGCTATATCCTATTGTACTCCTATTATTTTTTTGCTTAGAATTCTGAAAGAGAATAAATGGTCCAATAAGAGGGTTCATCTTTATGGAGGGAAAGAGATGGTATTTTGATTTGTGTTTTAAAAAACCCCAGCAGGTTCTACCTGGTTAGTATTGGATGAAATCAGATGACTGTTTATGCATGAAGATAGATTGGTTATGGACTAGATTACATTAGGTCATCACGGAACTCCAAATTCAATAATATAACCTGCCTAATGGTGGATTCATAAATTACAGTGTTGTATAATTATGCCTTCCTTTGTATTTTCTTTTTTTTTAGCAATTAGAATTAATCACACCTTTTCAACTGTACTTCAATCCAGAATTGATATTTAAAAATTTTCAAGTAAGTGCTTCTTTGTATATCAGTTTTTCATAAAGGCAAGTAGCATAATTCAGTTTTCCCAAATCAGAATTGCTGGTATTTTTAACAAGTGGAATCAAGTAAATAATCTCCCTCCCACATTGTATGGTGTTTTGCTCAAGTTGTAAATGAAATTCTTGAGATTTATGGTGGAACCCTCTAATAGCTACAAGCTTTATTCCTAATAATATTACATGTTGATTCTGCTACAAAATATGATTACTCTGTAATACAATGAGCTACAGCTGGTTTTGCTGTGATTCTTATTGGACTGCAAACTTTAATTAAGCTAGTTAGGTTTTGCCATTCATTCAGGCAATATTGATAACATTGATTTTTTAGCCATAACTAATTATAAAGTTTGATAATTAGTGCTAATAAATGCAGCATCTTACAATAATATTCTGTATGAGACCTTATTTTTAAATATACATATTTAGGTCTTCTCATACACAATCTTTGCTTTAAGCAGAAGCAGTGTTACTTCTGGATACAAAGTACATTTACATCATTTGAGAGTTTTTTTTTATTTAGCAATAGCAATAACACTTATATGCTGCTCCACAGTGCTTTACAGCATTCTCTGGGCAGTTTACAACATCAGCATATTGCCCCCAACAATCTGGTCCTCATTTTACCAACCTTGGAAGGATGAAAGGCTGAGTAACCTTGAGCCAGTGAGGATTGAACTGGCAGTAGGTAGAGTTAGCCTGCAACACTGCATTCTAACCACTATGCCACCCTCAAGCAAACAAGCATTTGTTTAAATGTAATTTATTAATTTCTCATTCCTCATATCTCTTGCAGGTATGGAGGTTGGTTACAAACTACCTTTTCTTTGGGCCAGTTGGATTCAATTTTTTATTTAATATGATATTCTTGTATCTTTTGCTTATCTTCTGTGTGGAAGCTTACATATGGTTGCATATATAAGACCTTTTAGAGAACTACCCCAATGAAAGTTAGTTGAATCTTCTAGTTTTATTTTATTTATTTAATATACTGCCATAATTTACATCAGGGGTGTCAAACTGCAGGCCGGATGCGTCACACCAAAACCGCGCCCACCCCATTGCCAGCAATGGGAAAAAAGTAATGATACATCGCGACACGTCATGTGACACCGCGAGTTTGACATCCGTGATTTACATGGACTCTAGGTGGTGTAACAACAACTTTAGAAGCAAATAAGTAATTTAAGGGGATGACACTAGCTGCAATTCCTTCTTTGAAAAAATATTATAAGCCACATGTTTATCCTGTTTTGCTGAATTTTAAGGGTAATCACCATTTGTTTTCATATGTCAGCAGTGCTAGCTCCTAATTTGTTTATGGGAAAATCAAGCTTTGCTTAGAGTCAAGATAGCCCAAAAAAATTCTGTCGTAATATTAATTTGGCCATTCCTTGGTATCTCATGAGGTACAGATTATCTTTGGAAGTGAGGATATGAGAGGAAAACCCTACTTTGTCGTAGTATCCAAACTTTCAAGACACTCCCCCCCAATACAGAGGCTTTATTACAGAGGGAGGTTTTAGTTACTTAAGTATTTTCTCATTATAGCTCTCCTGAAGCAGGTAATACCAACTGAAATTGGTGAGGATACTCACCAAATAGTTTTTTACATTTATAATATTTTTTTATAAAATCACCTGGAGAATGAGTCTTCAAATCCTGTCTTATCCATGAAAACCAGCAGGGTGACCTTAGGCCAATCACACACTCTCAGCCCAACTCACTTTACAGGGTTGTTGTGTGGAAAATAGGGAAAGAGTATTAGGTGTGTTCACTGCCTTGAGTTATTTGTAAAAAATAAAAGTGGGATATAAATAAAAATAGCTTTGAAGCATTGGATGTTGAATCAAGAATATTCCTTTAGTTGTTTGGTTGCTACATGCTAGACATGTGTTATTGCTGACTATATAATTTTTAACAAAACGTTTAAGATGAACGTGAGGACTTATTTTGAATACATGTTATTGATGTTGATTTCTCCAGATCCATTTTCTTTGTAGAAGGAATATATTTACACATCTGAGCCAAATAATGTATTTGTTTATAAAATGTATATAGCTGCCCATTTTAAATATATAACCTTAGTGCCTAAAAATAATCCATGGAAAAACAACTCATATCACAAGTATAAAACAAAATTATAATAACCATAACCCAACAGAGAATATGAACATTGTGATTTGTTCTTGCTGCATCTGTGAGATCTGCACTGATAATCTCCAAGTGTAAAAGTCTGAATTACAAAAATATGATTTTTGGCAGCAAATCAATACAAAATTAGATCTGTAATGATAGGAGGCAGATCCTTTACATTGGTTGTAACTTGGTTACTACCTTAGATTTTTGGATTTATGGGCCGAAAGTCCCTGATGTATCCCAATTTTATGGCATAGAAGTTTTAATATCAGTATTGACCTTTTTTCCAAAAAGATCTGATAAAATAATTGACTCTGTGTAAT